CATGGAAAAAATATATTGTTGAGAACCAGGGTGGGTGGGAGCAAAGACGCAAAACCCATCTGCAGACAATAGGACATCCACTCACAGAAGGATCACAAAGAGAGATGAGTCAACCAAGGAGCAGTATAGCACCAATGAAACGCACAATATTCCTCTGGTTCTTTGAAGATTCCTCACCACCCACTATCATGACCCCAGTTCTGCCTTTTTGTTCTGGCTAGACCGGAGCATGTGCACTGGTACAGATAAGAGCTCACAACACACAGAATCTAGGTCAGATAAACCCCTCAGGAACAGAAATGGGAGTAGCAATATAGGAGGGTAGGGAAAGGTAGGGGAAGGAGGGAAGGAAGGATTGCAGTGATTGCTGTGCAATCTGCTCCCCCAGGGGGGATGAACGACAGAAACATGGATGAAGAAGACAGCAGTCAGTGTAAGATATTAAAATAAGAGCAATTTATAACTTATCAAGGGGTATTCCCGATAACTTGTGAGACATTCCTGTCGACAAGACACACAGAGCTTTGCTACAGTCCTGGAGCTCAAGGAGACACATGGAAACACATGCCAGCTCTGAGATGCTTAGACTGCCACTGGATCCAGACTTTCCACCCTCTGGCCTGTGATCTTCCTGCATTTGGCATCATTGCATGGGTTTTATGAGTCTAATTGGTATCAGACATATGGGCTAATGTCGGATTTATAGATTTTATCTGGACTGGGATGGGATGTTTTCTCAATATATAATTGCTCTGCTATATGAAGCTCTTTCTTATATACATGAGTGTCCATGAATTTATTTCTCTAGTCTATTCTAACACAGTCCCCTTGGGAGCAAACATTGAGGAACTTCAGTTCTTAGCTGATACTACCAAGCCTTACAACAGGCACTTTCCTAATAGGAAACTTTCTCTTTCCAGATCCCCCTTTTGGAATCAACCACTTCTCTGTCTCTCAGAGACTAAATTACACAGGAGACTTTTGCAAAGGGAGACTTTTATTTGCACATATTCACATCTTATGGCCAATTCTTCCTCGGGAGGCATGGAGACAGAACATTGTTCTTGTACAGTTAGCTCTTGTGGCACAGCCCTGCTTCATACTTGCCTTCATGAAGAGATCACTGAAGATAAGCAAAATGTGCTATAGCAAAGTGTGGAGAAGAAAGCAGATGGTGCCTGGCTATCAATTGGAATACTGTCTGGGGTCTTAAAGACTGATATTCAAACAAGCAGCCATCTAAGTGAGGCATCAACTAAGTCCACATTCAAGAAGCACACCAGCCTGTGTGATCCAAAGATGACAATAACAAAATCAAAATATGATGAAGGGAAAAGTATCAGAGCTTAATTTGTGAACACCCAATTTGTAAAAGGCCATGGAGGACAGTGAGGGCCCAAAATCCATCTGCAGAGTATCAAGTCAGATTAAGACTCTGGCAGATCCCTTTTGCCACAGGCAAGGGACTTGAACAACTTTACTATCAGACAGAGATTATTGTAACTTGGTTATGGTATCTCAAACCATGGTTGAGATACTTGTTAGTTGACCTTTCTCTTGACCCAATCTGAATTTGCGCTAGGCTTAAATATTTCTCAATGTTCCATGACAGAAACTGCTTCTCTGGCTTTTAAAATATTATTAGTGGTCTTTTCTTTCCTACTTTTAATTTTTATCTTTATATTATTATTTCCTTTCATTAAAAAAAATTGTTTGTTAGGTTTCCCAGTTTATGAAGCAGAGGAGTGGCTGCAATAACTGATGTAGTTTATCGGGGATGGGAGTTGGGGTAGGGGTGGGGGGTAGGGTGAAAGGAATTGGGGCCCAAACAATGAATGCAGGAGTGGGGAGGGAGCACTAGAATTGTGATGATGTATGTATCTCTTTAAAAGCACCTTAACTATGGAAGTGTATGATATATGAATTTTATACCAAGAAAACTACTACTGAAAGGTATGATGATTAGGGATAGAGGGTTCTGTCTCCACCAAATGCCTTCGCTAAATGAAAATTAGCTGACCATGCCACAATAAAGGGGTTGGGAAGAAATTAGGCATACATTAGACACCTATGGAGATAATCTAAAGCTGTGCCCAGGTTAATCTCCACCTGCACCTACGTGACCTTGGTCTGAGCATGCCCAGCTTTAGATACCCACCCCCCACCCATTCTTAGTAGTTGAGCTCAGGTGCACCCATGACACAATGCACATGTGTGCCCTCTCAGGCCTTACTCTCTCTTCTTATTTTGGTTCCAGGACTCTTTTGATTCTGTGGACTCCTCTTAATGGCCATTTTCCACATGGTTTTTCATGCTCCTCCGAAGTAGCCATCTTCAGTCCTGTGGCCTTGCATGCTTTCCAGAGGTAGTGTGTACTACCTGAAACTGTAGTACCCTAAACTTCCCTTTTCCTTATAGATGTTACTTGGATTTACAAAAGTGCTTCTGCCACGTGAATTCTTTCAGTGTTGAGGAGCAAGAATTGAGGAAAACCATCCCAGAAACCTAACATTATTTGAAAAAAAAAGAGAGAGAAACCAATGTTGATCAATGGTTACCATGGGTGAGAGAAGGACTTTTTCATCAGGGGGCATTGAGTTTATGTTAATGGTGGTGGAATAATTTGGAAAATGATATCAATAATGGTTTCACAACAGAGTATAATCAGTGGCACTAAATTATACATTTAGAGATGTTGAATTGGAGAATGTTTTGTTGTGTATATTTTTTCCACAATTGAAAAAATACAGTACTAACAATGAGTACAAGGAAGAAGAAAATTGTCTAAAATTGATTGTGGCAATGATTGTACAACTATTCTTGATATGACTGGACTATTGAATTCTATGCTATATGGAAGAAGTGCCGATAAAACGGTTTTTGAAAATGTTATTTCTAATAGCTCAGAAAGGAAAAGCCATCATTTACACCGCTTGGACATGTCATATTTTGGGAAGATTTACTCATAACAATACTCTCTGCTTTAGCTCTCTAACTACATCATCTTTCACTAAGTCTCAAGACAAACAAGCAGGATCCACTGAGACACATACTAAGGGTCAGGATGTCTCCCCATATAAGAATTTCTTTTGTCTTTGGAAACGCTGTATATCAGTGTTTACCAACCAAAGGGACAGGGCTTTGCACTCTAGGATATGCTAAACCTATTATATCTGTAGCCAATGACACAATCTTTATGCCTACTCCCTTAAGCAACTCACATGACCAGCCCAAAAGAGCTGGGCCACTAACCTCTTTTCATTTGGAATCAATACTGTAGTGGGAACAGCAGGACAAATGTATGTTAACTTTTCTTACAGTGCAGGCTCATTGGCTGGCCTTCCAGCAGGTCTTCTGCAATTGGCTGGCTTTTCCCCCTTCCCTTTTCAGGTATGAACACTCCTGTACCCCAGTGGTCATGGTATGTTCTGTGTGTGTGGGCAACCCCCCCACCCCCACCCCACCACCCTCCCCGTAAAAGCCACGCTCATTGCATGGAGCCAATTCAAATTCACAGCAACACTATAGGACTGGATAGAACTGGCCACAAAACTAAGGGTCAATTCAGTCAGTGTGGGGAGTATGAATGTTCCATTGTTAGCTAGATGAGGCTGGCAAAAGAAAAGGTGATGATGACAGGAAACTGGCAGAAATTGTAACACAAAGGAGAGGTGGATACATGTTCCACACATACCTCTCCAGCACAAAGGATGGTGAAAAGTAGATAAGCCATATTTTCTTATCAATCGAAAACATGGAAGATACGAAAAGGCTGGCATTAGACAGGATGTTCACTCTACCTTCAGAATAATTGAGTGGGCGCTTGGGTTTGGGGTCTGAGACAGGAGTGCAGTATGATGTATGGGGTGCTAGGATGCACATACCTGGAAAGAGGGGGCACACTACAGAGGACCAACCAATAGCAGAAGATCCACCAGAAAGTTAGCTTACGGTGGGAGGTCCCAATTGGCAGAATATAAGGACTTTTGCCAGGCCTTTTAGAGTAGCTAAGGGCCCTTTGAACTGTTTTTCCTAAGTATTCCCTTCAATAAACTCACTCTATTCAAACTTTTTCTCTGGCTCTGGTCTGAATTTTGTCACTTGCATGAAATCTTTCTTGAGTGGAGGAAGAAAAAGGCGAAGAGGCTTGAAACTTTGAGCCTTCTCCGAGTGACACCGTCGTTGCCTCCCTTTCACTATTTCTCACTTCCATTGATAAGGAAACGTGTCTTATATGCCCTTCACCTTTCTTTGTACTGGACACATAGCGACCCGACAGGGCAAGAACTGGCCCTGTGGATTTCTCTTTTGGCGGGACAGTCCCGATTTTTGGCGTTTTTTAAAAGTCCCGATTTTTGGAAAGAATGCACGATAAGCTAGGGTACGATCTATTTGTTCCATATAGACCAAATTTTTTATCAAGAACTCTCCCCCTCCCAGCCCCCGGTCAATGGTGTCCCGCTTTAAATCTGGTCACCTTACGACGAACTGGTTATAGGAGTAGAAAGTCTCATCTTTCTCCCGCAGAACTGTGGATGATTTCAAAGTGCCGACCTTGAGGCTCCCAGCTCCACACGTAACCACTACGTCACCAGCGTTCCTCCCAGATAGGCCCTTTATTATTTATTTAACAAGAAACTGATAGCCAAACTATCAGAAGAAAAAAAATCCCTATGGTATAAGGTACAACGATCTTCACTCTTTCGGCTCCACCCGCTAGCCCATCTCCAGGTTCCCGCCGCCAGGAGAGGTGGGCCTGAGAAAGCTACGGTCCCGGAAGGAGTGGCGCAGCCGGGACGTCTGCGCATGCGCTCCAATCTGCAGGCGCGGACGTTTCTGAAGCTGAAGAGGACTGTTGGTTCGGAAACGTGCCTTTGTGGTTGCGTCATCACGCTGGGCCCGGGCGCGTCATCACGCTGGGCCCGGGCCGCGTCCAAAGGACCCAGGCTTAGGTGTGCCGGAGGCGCCAAAGTTCCCGGCGTGCCTTCCTCCGCACGCACCACGCCTGCGCAGCACTCCGGGCCGCAAAGGAGCCATGGCGCTCCGGCGTCTGTTGCTGCCTGGTCGGGGAGGTTGCTGGCCCCGCGGACTCCCGGTGCTCTTGCTGCCTGGCGGCTGCGCGGGTCTACACGAGAGGCCCTGCCTCCGGTCGGTGAGTCCCTTCGCCTGTGCCCAGCGCCCGGCCCGCGCGGTGCGCGAGCGCCAAGGTCACCGCACCGCTTTCTTCCCCCCGCACCCTCCACCGCCGCCGTGCCTCACTTATTGCATGAGTGAGGGCCCACTTTCGTGGCAGCCGAGCCCAGCATCCCCTGACCCGGCTGTTTCCAAAAACGCACACTTGCACTTGTCAAATGGAGTTGTCAAGGTTTAGAATCACTCATCTCCTGTGCACTCGATTCTCGGTGTTTCAAGTGTCTTGCCAGCGCCTTTTGACACCCAGGATGAACATGTTTTACCAGTAGGGTAGCTGAGGCCTGCAAATGGTAAGGGACGAGCCTATTTCGGGCACTGGTCAACACACTGGGAAAGTGTTGTGTATGTGCATCAAGAGTGAGAATGAGGTTGGAGCACAGATTTTGCGCTCGAACTTTGGTTGTTAGGTTGTTTTTAGATGCCGCCCATTTAGTTCCGAACCAGAGCAACCATACGTACATCTCAGAACCCAACTGCCAGGCTTGCACCACCCTCACAGTTATGATTGATTTCTCATGTTGCAGCCACTGTTTAACTCTTTCTCTTGCTTGCTCATTGACCCTTAACCAAGCATGATGCCCTTCTTAGGTCCTGGTCTCTTCTGATGACATGCCCAAAGTATATGAGACCAACTTTCACCATCCTTGCTTCTCGGGAGGATTCTGGGTGTATATTTATCAAGACAGATTGTTTCCTTTTGTCGGTCCTTTGTATATTCAGTATTAAAGGCATCAAACTGGCAGCTCCCTGTTAACACACTACTGCAATTATTTTAGGATTATCATGCACAGTTTTCTATATTCGGTGTTTTGCTTTAGCATGTGTGAAGTGATTGAAAATGCCATAGCTTGGATCAGGTGATCCTGAGTCCTCAAAGTGACATATTTGCTCGTTAATACTTTTACAGCAGATTTACTCAAAGCAGTACTTAGTTTGATTTATTGACTAGCTTACATGGATGTTGATCGTGGATCTAAGTATGTAAAATGAAATCCTTGACAATTTCAATCTTTTCTCCGCTTGTGATGACATTTGTCTAGTTGCGAGAATTTTTTATTTAACAGTAAGGTATAATCCATATTGAAGGCTGTAGTGTTTGATCATCAGTGTGGTAGTTAGATCATATGTCAACTAGACACTCAAGGCTGGGGTGGAATCAAACCTGTGAATCAAGTGGTAACTTGATGTTCCCTCCTTGGGGGTGTGTCCTTTTGTATAAGAGTGATGGACTCTGGGAACTGCTCTCTTTCTGTCCCTCCACTTTCCTGCCTGCTGGAACTCTGCTTGCCACAAGGAGTGGACCCATGGGGACCCATTGACCTGAGAACTGGGGATGCCCTGCCAAGTTTCCACCGACTTTGGATCCATTCAACTCTGCAACCACCAGCCTGTAATCTTTCTGCTTCCCAGTTTACCATTCTGCATCACCAGCAGGTAGCTACATGAATTTGAAGAGGAACTTAATGGACTACCATTGGACTTAGGGACTCGAGTTAGACTGGGCTGGGATGCCTCCTTGATAAAGAATTACTTTTTGCTCTTCCTTTTGCATAGATCAGTGACACTGGATTTATTTCTCTAGACAACCTGGCCCAACACAATCAATAAGTGTTTCAAGTCTTCAGTTTACAATAAGCAAGGCTTTTATATCAGCATACGGCATGTTGATAATGAACATACCTGTAATCCTAATGTTGCATCCTTCATATAATCCACCTCAGAGTATTTGCTCAGCCTACAGATTAAGTAAGTATGGTGGAAAAAGACAACCTTGATGCTCCCCTTTCCTGGTTCCCTTGTCATGTCGGAACAAATAACAACCACTTCATCACGTATAGGTTCTGTATGAGCACAATTAAGTGTTTTTTGTATTCCCATTCTTCTCATTATTACCTGTTACTTATGATCTCCACAGTCAAATGTCTTTAAAACACAAGTAAACATCTTCCAGCTATTCAGTGCTTTCAACCAAGATCCATCAGATGTTAGCAACACTCTCCCTCATCCCTATAGGGTTGCTGTGAGTCAGAATTGACTCCACAGTTGGTTTGGTTTATAACCTTACAGTATCCTGTGATACAGCAAACTAGCATGGTGGTTCAGGCTCTGGAACCAGTTAGACAGGGTCTGACTTGGCCATTTTGCTAGCTGATTGTCTTAATGGAAGTTAGCTTAGTCTCTTCACTTAAACTACCATTGACTCCTGGTGACCCTATATGGCAGAGTAGAACACCATAGGATTTCTGAGGCTCTAAGTTTTTACACTTGATCTTAGCTGAAAGACAGAGAAGTGATGAGGCTCGAAATTTTTAAGGAAACAGACTGAGTGGCTCCCTCAGAGTGCCTGGTGGCTTTGAACTACCTACCCTATGGTCATCAGCCCCATACTTACTACACTGCACTACCAGAGATCCTTTCTTCACTTGAAAGAGGCAATAATGGTACCTGCATTTGCTTATTATTTTGACTCTTTGAAGCTCCGCTGCCATTCTCAGGTTGAGTCCTTAATTATCTTCAGCTCTTATTCCTTGCACAAATCCCTTAGACGATTCTTGCTTCATATCCGTTAACTTGTTCTAATCGTTTTCCCCCCATTAGTGTATGTTGAAGGAGCCCCAGTGTTGTGAAAGTTAAGCAGTCAGCTGGTGCTGAGTGAGGAGTGAGGATTAGCGCCTAGGATTTCTAGGAGCTAATGTAACCGAGAGGAATTACTGAAACCCAAATGGAGGCTGAGCATGATAGTGGGGCAAGAGGAAAGTAAAAGGAAATAGAGGAAAGAAGTAGGAGGCAAAGGCCATTTATAGAGGTTTATATAAAAGCATGTACATATGTAAATATATTTATATATGAGGATGGGAAAATAGATCTATGTGCTTATACTTATAAGTTTAGTATTAAGGTAGCAGAGGGACATTGGGCCTCCACTCTAGTATTTCCTCAATGCAAGAAAACTTTGTTCTATTAAACTGGCATTCCATGATGCTCACCTTCCCGACACGATTGCTGAAGACAAAGCAGATGCATAAGCAAATGTGAAGATAGCTGATGGAGCCCACTAGGGTCTTAAAGACTTGAAGGTAAACAAATGGCCATCTAGCTCAGAAGCAACAAAGCCCACACGGAAGAAGCACACCAGCCTGTGTGATCATGAGCGAGTTGTTGAAGGGATCAGGTATCAGACATCAAAGAACAAAAAATCATATTGTGAATGAGGGGGAGTGCAGATTGGGGCCCCAAGACCCATCCCCTTACAGAAGGGTCTCAGGGAGGAGACAGCTGTCAGGGTGCAGTATAGCAATGATGAAACATACAACTTTCCTCTAGTTCTTAAATGTTTCCTTCCCCCACTATCATGATCCCAATTCTACCTTACAAATTGGGCTAGACCAGAGGACGTACACTGGTATAGATAGGAACCAGAAACACAGGGAATCCAGGACAGATGATCCCTTCAGGACCAGTGGTGAGAGTGGCGATACCGGGATGGTGGAGGGAGGGTGGGGTGGAAAGGGGGAACCGATTACAAGGATCTACATATAACCTCCTCCCTGGGGGATGGATAACAGAACAGTGGGTGAAGGGAAATGTCGGACACTAAGAGATGACAAAATATTAATTTATAAATTATCAAGGGCTCATGAGGGAGGGGGAAGCAGGGAGGGGGGGAATGAGCTGATACCAAGGGCTCAAGCAGAAAGCAAATGTTTTGAGAATGATGATGGCAACAAATGTACAAATGTGCTTGACACAATGGATGTATGTATGGATTGTGATAAGAGTTGTACGAGCCCCCAATAAAATGATTTTTAAAAAATTCTAGGAGCTCTGCTGTTTGATTAAGTAAATGGAAAATAAAATCAACTTTATATGGAAAGAGACCCAGGATAAGCAGAGCACTATCTAAGAGAGCAAAGTAGGACGGCTTTTAGTTCCCAACCTGAAAACCTACTACAGTCATAGTCAAAACAGCCTGGTGCTAGTACAACAAATACGGAGACCCATGGACAGAAATACAAGTCCCAGAAATAAATGCACCTAACTATAGACAATGAGTTCTCCACAAAGGGCTGAAATACATTAAATGGGAAAGAGAGAGATAGTCTCTTCAACAAGTGGTGCTGGTAACATTGGGATTTCCATTGGCAGAAGAATGAAACAGGGCCTATACATCACTTCATATACAATAATGAACTCAAGATGAATTAAGGGCTTAAATGTAAACCCTAGAACTATAAATATCATCAGTGAGAAAACAGCGACACGTGGGACCCCAATACATGGCATGAACACACTATCAGATGTAAAGAAAACCACACAAAAAAACCACATAGCAGAAGACAGATTAGATGGCTAGGACCTCCTAAAAATAAGACACTTAAGTGCATCAAAAGACTTCCTAAAAAGACAACCTATAGACTGGAAGTAAATTTTTGGCAATGCCTAAAATCTAGAAAACTGCAACACCTCAAGAAAAAGATGAATAATTCAATTTTAAAATCGGCAAAATACATGAATAGACAGTTCACCAAACCAGCCATCCAGGTGACCAGCAAACATGAAGACGTGCTCAGGATCACTAGTCATCCCAGAAATGCATAGCAAAATGATGGGATACTACCTCACACTGGCATTGATAGCAAAGTTAAAGACAAACACAATAACAAAAGATGGACAGGGCATATAAGAGATTGGAACCTGCATTAAAAAAACAAACTCACTGCCATTGTGTCAGTGCTGACTCAGACTAATTTTATGGGAGTAGAGAGACTCCTCTTTCTTCCAAGGAGCTGCTGGTGGTTTTGAACTGCAGCCATGTTGAAAGGGGAATGACACTTCCTTTAACAACTGGGACAATACATTTTACTGTCATCGAGTCAATTCTGACTCCTAGCAAACCAATAGGAGAGACTGGAACTGTCCAGGGGTTTCCACGACTAACTGTTTATGTGTAGCAGCCAAACATGTAACCCACTACAGCACCAGGGTTCTAGCAATTTCCTTACTTTGTTCATACCTTACAGAAGTCAGAGCTGTGGTTCCAATAGATGTAAGCACACCCGTGTTCATCACACCACTATTCATAATAGCAAGCAGATGGAAGCAACCTAATGCCCACCAGTAGAAGAATGGATAAGTACTATTGAAATTGGAAAACCTCATGATACAGTATGTTGGGGCATTTTGCTGAGTGAGGTTTGTTATAAAAGAAAAAAAGCCCGACTTTCTGGTATTCTCGGCAGGTGGAGGGTGGGAATATCTCCCACATGCACTGTGCTGCGAGGCGTGTAAGCTCCCGCGGGCCCTCTTGGCAACATTCTCCTGTCCTCTGGGGAATTCCTGCTCTTGGTTCTGAGTGCTTGGTTTCAGGATCCTGTTCCAACATTGTTTTAAAAAAAATTTTTTTAAATCATGATAAAGATTTTTCTTTAAAAAAATTAATAGAGATTTGTCATACCACAAAAGAAACGTACTTTGAGGGTTACCAGGCCTGGGAGGGCAAGGGAGAAGAGGGGAAGCACACTGTGACTCTTGGTGCATATGTGTGGCTCTAAAGTCAAATGGAAAATTTTAAATGATATTATTCAGATAATGGTGGTTTCATTTGTTTGCAAAAATATATTTATGGCTCTTGAATAATGTTTAGATTATTGTGAGGGACAAGATTGGTTTGCCAACCCCTTGTTGGAGAATAGACAGGTGTCAGCCAAGGTGAAAGGGAAGGTAATTTCTAAGATGAAGAAAAGGAAAAAGGGGGGAGAGGCTTAGGGCAAGTTATTGGGAGGTTTGAAAAGTTATTTAATTATTAAATCCAAAAATGGTTATCTGAAACATAAACCCCCATCTAATTCATGATTAAAAGTTTTTTTAAAAAAAACGTTATTTCTGCAAAATTGGCTATATTTTCTCATTGTGTCTTGCCAGTGATTGCTTTTAACTGATCAACTAAAGATTTAATAAGGCCTTTCTTTGTTGGTTCACATTATACTAGAGTAGGGGGTCAGCAAACTGCAATTCGTGGCCCATACGTGGCACTTTTGGTATGTTCATGTGGCTCTGCAGTAAAATTTAAAATGAAATTTCATGAAATCTTAAATATTACTCAGATAATGGTGATATCATTTGTTTGTAAAAACAAATTTATGTATCTCTAAAAATTTTTAAATTGCTGTGAGGGACAGGAATGGCTCTTCCATCTCAAAAGATTGCCGGCATCTGACCTAGACGATATACAAACAACTTTTCAGCAGCATATGTTATATAAAGGAGGGACACATTGATAATGGGACTTCTATCGGGAAGACTATATCAGATGTCTTTAACAAATATTGCGAATAGAAGGATAATTAGAGATGTTGGATGAGAAATTATTTTTGAATCATGGTAAGTTTATATTATAAGCAGAATTATAATTATGCTTACAAGCTGCGTTCTTGTAATTTCTGGTCAATGTCTTACAATGTCAGACCTTGCAGGCGAATCAGTATGAACCAGCAGTTTTCCACGTACCAGAGTTTGTCTTTTGGTTGCTAACTCAGTATACACTGCCAAAGTAAATGTGTTGTTAGATAATTGTATTTGGGTTGCATTTCTAAAAATTACATGATGTTGAGGTATTCTTATCTTCTGGATCATGTCCTATGGTTTTGTTGCTAGATTTAGAGTAGCATAGTGCTAAGTGAAATTAGTCCATCTTAAAAATGCCCCTCACCGGATCAGGTATCAAGCATGAAAGAACAAAAAATCATATCATTGTAAAGGTGGGCGAGTGCAGAGTGGAGACTCAAAGCCCATTGGTAGGCAACTGGACACCCCCTTACTGAAGGGTTGTGGGGAGGAGATGAGCCAGTCGGTGCAGGGTAGCAACAATGAAACATATAATTTTCCTCTAGTTCTTAAATGCTTCCTCCTCCCCCCCAACCCCCACTATCATGATCCCAATTCTACCTTACAAATCTGGCTAGACCAGAGGATGTACATTGGTACAGATAGGAACTGGAAACACAGGGAATCCAGGACAGATGACTTCTTCAGGACCAGTGGTGAGAGTGGCGATGCCTGGAGAGTGGAGGGAATGTGGGGTGGAAAGGGAGAACCGATTACGAAAGTCTGCGTATAGCTTCCTCCCTGGGGGATGGCAGCAGAGAAGAGGGCGAGGGGAGACGTTATGACAAAACAATAATAATTTATGGATTATGAAGGGTTCATGAGGGAGTGGGGAGGGAGGGGGGAAATGAGCAACCGATATTAAGGGCCAAAGTGGAAGGCAAATGTTTTGAGAATGATGAGGGCAACAAATGTACATATGTGCTTGACACAATGGATGTATGTATGGATTGTGATAAGAATTGTACAAGCCCCCAATAAAATGATAAAAAAAAAAAAAGATCAAATAACCAAAAAAAAATGCCCCTCATCTCATGCTAGTCTGTAACCATTTGTTGAAGGCAGAAACAGACCATTCATCCCTTTCACATTAGAAAGTCTCTTTTTAACATTTTATCTTGATGTAATCGTCATGCTTTTATTTACATGTCATGTTTCAGCTTTATCGGTATGCTATAACTCAAGCAGCAACCAGCAGAAATTCTCTTCTGAGAGATGTCATTGCAGCTTATCAAAGATTCTGCTCTCGACCTCCAAAAGGTAAGTGCTTCAGCATGACCGTAAGATGAACAGTTGTGTTTCAGATGTCTTCATTTCTGCCTCCTTTTGTCATTTGCTGTTCTACCTCCACTTTCTGATTGCTATGACAAAAATGGGTCACTATCAACTGTAGTAATAACACTTAAAATGGCATGAAATTGACATGCACTTGGACTTTTTTCCTTTAATAGCCTTGGGCTTTAAAATTAAACTATTTAGACACTGATTTATTGCTATAATATAATTTTGTTATTTTAATGATGTAGCAGCTACTTTTAAAACAAACATAAACACTGATGAATTTTAGTTTGAGGGTGTGTATATTTTTTCTTTTTCTAACAGGATTTGAAAAATACTTTCCTAATGGAAAAAATGGGAAAAAACCTAGTGAACCTAAAGAATTTATGGGAGAAAAAAAAGGTACTGGTTAAACAGATTATGTTTGGATTTCATATTTTCCCCTAATATATGCTATTGATAATTATGTTAAGTCAGTTGTGAAACGGTTAAGTTACAAGTACATTAAAGTTCTAGAACTTGAGTTTCATTTATCTTATTTCTATGTTTATATTGCCGTTTTTCAAATTGAAGTAATTCGATCTGTAAAGTCACATTAGAGGCACTGCTTGATCAGACTAGAGTATTTGTCACAAAATATAAACCACTGAGGAAATCTTAGAAGTCTAACACACATGAATTTTTAGACACATGTTGTAGATTAATGCACTATTTTTCAAATTGTTCCTCTGAGGATTTCTTAGGATTGGGGGCCATGTGGGATACACCAGGCTTCCTGTCCCCCATCTCACACATGTGATAGTACTTAGCACAATACCTGCACACATAGCATTCCGTTGGCATTTTAGATTTGTTTTTGTTCTTAGGGAAATGTAAGGAAAATTATAATGCAGCTTTAAAAAAAATATTTAATGTACTTGTGTACAGAGGATCAAAAACAAAGCAAGGGAAAGGAGAAGCATTGTCCATGATTCTAGATTGGAATATTGGTGTAATAGTGGTTTTTCCCCCTAACAGACTTGAAGGTAGTTTTTAAATCTTGGTTTTGGGGTAGATTCATGAGATTTGGTTCACTAATAAAATCCAAATGGTTGGTACCCTTTGCCTGTGTTGCCTTGTGCAGTAAGTTCCCAATCCTGAAGTTTGTCTGGGCTTATCCACTGTGCTTCTCTCAGACGCTGGACTGTGCAGAGGCGCAGAAGCTTCTTGCTTGTATCACAGTGGTGAGGCCTTTCATGAAGCTATAGTATCTTGTAGCCACGAATGATGGCTGAGTGCCTGAGGCCACCATGCTGCTGCAATATGAAGGCTTTCATCATGGTCGTTGAAGTTAGGTGATTGGTGTTTGTGGGTCACAGTGAGGATAGAAAAGTAAGAAAAGATTCTTGCAAACTGTTAACTCTTTGCCATCGTCTTTATTTGACCCATAGTTACCCTATACAGGGTAAATCTTTATAGGGAGCACATAGCCTGAACTTTCTTCTGAGGAGGTTTTGGACTGCTGACCTTAGCAGTTTATGCAGTTAACAGGCCATTCATTACTTACCTAACAGTGCCACTAGTGGTCCTTTGCAAAACTAGAGAGGGTTAACTCATTCTCGGAGTTATGTCTTTCCTACAGAAGAAACTGTTCGCAGTGTTACTTTGTAGGAGTATGAAAGGGGAGCCTGGACTTTTTAACTACAGGTTGGGCTCAGGAATTCACTTTACTCGTTCAAATATGGACAGTGTCATTTAACCTGCAAGAAGCTATTCAATGAGTTACTTAACCTCCCTAAGCTACAATTTCTTTGTCTATAAAGTAGGTATAGTAGTAGTGAACATACAGAATTGTTAGGTTATTGTACAAATTTAATGAGATACTGTATGTGAAGGACTTTTAAGCCCTCCTTGAATGTTGTTTGTATTAGTGCCATGCTTTATTGTACTTTATTAGTTGTCATTTTGTACTTTGTAGTGCCTTGAACTGTATTGGTAAAATCATTTTTGAGAGATAAAAAGTCTTGCTATGCTTTTATATATGTTACTTCTTTATGAACAGAATCAAAGCCAACTAGTACACCAAATTCTTCTGGCGGAGGAGTTGGTGGTGGAGGAAAGCGAGGTGGCAAGAAAGATGATTCTCACTGGTGGTCCAGGTTCCAGAAGGTGTGATTCCAAACTATGTGTTAATGTTGAGGTTACATTGGTGGCTATATGAAAGATTGGAGGACGCTGATAATATTGGGAGGGATTTGTGTCTTACAGATCACCTTTAGAAATTTTTTCTTCATAGAAAATTTCTCATCTTTTGTTCCAGGGCGATTTTCCATGGGATGACAAAGAATTCAGGATGTATTTTCTTTGGAGTGCTCTATTTTGGGGTGGTGTCACGATTTATTTCCTGTTCAGGAGTTCTGGGAGAGAAATCACTTGGAAGGACTTTGTCAATAACTATCTGTCCAAAGGAGTAGTAAGTATTTTATAGTATTGGTGGCTATCGTTGTTTGAAAGGTGACATTCAGTAGATAAATGAAGTTTGTTCATTTTAAAGTTAATTTTTCACACTGGAATTTTAACAATACTGAAAAGTACTGCAACCAAAACCCTTCTTGTTTTGATCCAAAAGTCCCCATATTTACTACATAATCATTTATTTCCACCTGAACGGCATTTTGGAAATATGGCTTCAGATTGCTCTTCCTGGCAGTTTTCCATGTGCTGTTGCCATTTTTTCGTGTGCCTCAGCTTTGCTGTAACCTGCCAACCTCCTCAGTGCTCTGTCTTTTTTGTATTAGACTCTCTTGACCTTGGAAATTGGATTAACAATAGGATTAGGACTGTGTAAAGGAACACCAAATGGCTCTGAGCGAGGGTCTGAGTAAAGCCCATGGACTCTGATAGGTTTCTTCCTGAGAAACGTAGTTCTGTCTTTTACACAAGGTGATTGCATATTTCATCATATTTAAGATGCATGTTGATCAAAGGTTCTATAGATGAACCTTTATCAATAGGAGAGAAACGCAGAACATAATTTCATATTCTCAAAGACTTCCAGGCCATATGAGCCCCTAAAACTATTGCCCCAAGATAATCATTAAACCTTAAATAAAAAATATTCTCAAAGTCTTCTTCAAACTATAGAGGAACTTAGCTTAGTGAAAAAAATGTCTGCATTATGCTCTGCTAGGAACTATCTGTGGTAGAATCTTACAAGTTAACAGCAACTCAAAAAATTAGATAAGAAATTCAGGAAGCATTGTGTTTCTATTAATGAGAGCGGAACAACTCAGGATCGGACTGTGATGGTTGTTATGTAACTTGAAGAATGTAAATCATTTTCACTGAACTGTGCATTAGAAATTGTTGGTGTTTTCCTGTTGTTAATGTGATCCCACCACCAGTTGACTATTCCTGGCAGTTTCCCATCTGCTGTTGCAATTTTTCTCTGGTGCCACAGCTTCTTATCCCTCCTGTCCCTTCTCCAACAGCAGTGTGATTTTTTTTAATTTATGACGATGTTATGCTGTTGATTGTAAGACACATTCTTTTATATACAAATAGGAACATTTAAAGTTGCTGAAGAAATTAAGATATGCTTTGATTAGAAAATGTATCCCAATTTTTGAGATGTTAAAATGTGAAAAGTGAACATCTTAGAATTACGAAATAGGAGTAAGAGAATTCGGATTAGGCCTCCATGTAACTGGGGGTAAATTACTTAACCTCTCAGTACTTTGATTTTTCCTTAATGAAATAGGTAGCACAAAGATGAAATAAAAGTACTTACCAAGGTATTGTAAAGGACCTACATTTTGTTTTCAAAGGTCATACAATAATGTGAGAATGGAAAAAATGGAAATGGTTACTCTAAAGAAACGAAACAAAAACAAACCAAACCTTTATTCTGGTAAAATATGTAGCAGGTTTGTCATTTTAACTATATTTTAACATACGATTCAGTGATGTTAATTACATTCACCATGCTGTGCTACCACCACTATTTTCCATTTTCAAAAATGTTAATATCACCTCAAACTGATTCAGTAAAACTGCTGTCCCTCTTCCAACTCCTGTTTACTGTTGGGTGTCATTGGGTCGGTTCTGACTCATTGGACACGATAGTTACCACTGTTCCATGCATTTTCTTTTTAAGAAAATATATTTTACGTATGTGGGATCATATACTGTCCTTTTGTGTCTGGCTTATTTAATTCAGCATAGTGTTTTGAAGACTTATCAGTGTAGCACACATCAGAACTTCATTTCCTTTTAATGGCTGAATAATATTTCATTGGTTATGTATGTCATATTTTGTGTAGCCATTTATCTGGTGACATACTTGTGCTTCAACCTTTTACCCATTGTAAATAGTATTGCAGTGAACATTGGTGTAGTAATGGTCACATTTTTTTGTCAAATGTTCATCTTAGGAAAGCCAGGATTTTGTATCTATAATTCCTAGGTGTTGTGGGGGAAGGGACTCTGAGAAGTAGCACCATCCATGAAAGATTTTTATATCAAGAAGCAATCATATATCAAACAAACAACCCAGCCCAGTCCAGCTCAAGTCCATACGTCCAGTGCTAGTCCCTGAGTCTGATACTAGTCCGTAAGTCCCTCGTCAGACTTTCGTAGCCACATGCAATGATGCAGGATGCAGGAACATCACCAGTGGGTGCCAAGTCCCGTGAACCCAATGGCAGGGACTGGCAGCTCTCGGAGTGACTCACTAACAGGAACATGGAGGCAGAGAGACAGAGCGGCCCACTGACAGTGAGCCATTTATCTCGGGCAGCTCCAAATGAGGTCATCAAGCTCTGCAACCTGATTGACAACCTAAACTCTACCCATACCTTCTTACAGGTGCCATGTTGGCACAAAAAAACTAACCATCACAGTGTTGCTTAGGGTTGCATGCATGTGTAGTGTACAAGTGTCCAGGCATGCTCTGAGCTGGTTGGCACCTCAGACAGTAGTCACACCTGGGAGAGGGAGTCAGTGGGGCACTTGGACAGCTCCAACAGTATTTGCAATGGTCCTGATAATAGTTTTTGTTCTCTTTTGTATTTCTAACATACCATGTGCTTTTTAAATGATTGTATCAAATATTTCCAGTAAATTTATATTCTTAAAATTCTAGGTGGACAGGCTGGAAGTCGTCAATAAACGTTTTGTTCGAGTGACTTTTACACCAGGAAAAACTCCCGTTGATGGGGTAAATTATTTTAATTATTTAACTGATATGAATTAACTTAACATTTCCAGATTTAAAACTGAAAAGATAGCATTCACACACATTGCCATATATCTATACCAAAATAGAGCAGTCGCGTTAACAGTCACCAATGTAGGTGAGTGAGAATGTGACTTTTTTGTATGTGTTAGTGATTCCTGGATTGAGTCGGTGGAGTTTTTGTTGTTTTATTTTTGGTTGAATAGTCCACTATACATGTAGGAAACAGTGAATAAAAGCCCAATTTTCAATACTCATTATATTCTGATTTTTCAAGACTGAAAGGCAGTGTTTTGTTTAGGGGAAAAAAACTTTTAAATCCTCATTGCTATGTCTTGAGACAGATATTTTCAAATTAATTTAAGTAGCATTCTGATAGCATATCTCTCCCACTTCTTTTATGATATGCTAATTTTGATTTCTTTTCCTATTTAAAAAATATTTTCTATCCAACTAATTTGGCTCCTACTTCCTGATCTCATTGAACAGGTTGAGGGGATTATGGTGGGGAGGAAAGGAAAGGTGGACTAGAAAGACTCCCAGGTGATTTGCACTCTTCCTTCCTTTGCACTCCACCTAGATGTCCTTTGATTGTCACTGTATCTTCCCCGCCCCCTCCCGCTCCCCCAGCCCCCACACAAGAGCTCAACCAGACTGCATTTGTCCTCCTTTAGGATAACTTGTTTAATCATTTCCTCATTGTCTTTTTTGAAAGAGCAACATTTGAGGCCAAATAAGAATTGAGGGTAACAAGAGCTATTTTTAGTTTTCTGTCAGTAAGTATATCAATACAGTCATATAACACTGGTATTACTGTTATTTTTGGCAAAGTTATTTTAAGTTTCTTGCCCCCCCCCCACCACCACCACCAACCTACCTTATGATGAAATGTTTGTTAATAATTATGATACATGTTTTTTTCGGTTTCCCAAATATTTGGTGCCAGGAATTTAATAGTCAATTCCTTTGAAGAGGTTAATTTGACAGTGTGTGTATCAGCAATTTTAAAAGCTGCATACACCAGTAATTTTACTTCTATAACTGTACGCTAGGGAAATAATTAAGTGTATATGTAAAGATTTCAATTCAGGGTTGTTATTAAACATTTTTCACAAAGTAGAAATAATTTAATATTGGGGCAGGGAGCCGGCTGTGATTCTTGTTTTGCTTTAATCTTCCGTGCTGGAGCAGTGGTTCTCAATAGGGCGGTACTGTTCCCAAGGGGCAAGTTCACATTTCAGGGAACCTTGTCTCTAGTAGAGGAGCCCTGGTGGTATACTGGGTACTCACTGAGCTGCCAGGGCTAGCAGTTCAAAATCACCAGCCACTCCTCAGGAGAAAGAGTAGGCTTTCTCTCCCTGTTAGTTAGTTACAGTTTCAGAAACCCACAGGGGCAGTTACGCCCTGTCCTATAAGGTCTGCCTATGAATCAGAATCAACATGTTGGCCTTGAAATTGGCTTGGTTTTCCAGTCTAGGCATGCATGGTTATATACATATTAAAATTAACCCCATGTTTAAATTTTTTATTTCTCTATCGGTTTTGTATTGCTTTCTTTATGAAATTGTACATGTGTTTCAAGATCGTAACACCAATATAGGCCTCACAGTGCTAGTAGTATGCATCTCTTGGTGTTAATGTTGTGGTTACTTTTAATTTTCTTTGTATTTCCTTAGTTGTGTACAGAGAGCATGTATTGCTTAATAAATGAAAACTTTTATTTTGAACTTTCAGAAATGGATATTGAATTTTTAGTGTTTTACTGCCTAGAGTAGTGATTTTAATGATACCTGATTCTGATAGACTAGACTTCAAATTAGCTCTACTAGTTACTACCTAAAATAACCACACTCACTGCCATTGAGTTGACTTCAACCCTTAGTGACCTCATATAACAGGGTAGAATTGTGCTTGTGAGTTTCTGATGCTGTGATTTTTTTTTAATTTAAATTTTATTGGCATATAATTTACATGCTATGCAATTCAGTAGTTCAGTCATTAAGAAGAGTTGTACAATCATCACCACAATAAATTTTACATTTTATTCTTTTTCGTACTCATTGTTATTAGCTCCTCATCTTCCCTCCCCAACCTAACCTGCCAAAGCACCCCAAAACATTAATCCAGTCTCTAGATTTTCCTATTCCTGAATGCATATACAGAAAAATTTCAAAAAATAACCACAAAACTAACACCAGTAAAACAGAGAAAAACTTCAATAGAAAAGAAAGCAGAAAATCATAAAAAACAGAACAGATTGAAAATGGGTCAAAAGGGAGATCAAATGATAAGATATTACATGATAACCTAACTATAATTGCCATAATTGACTTTACAGTGATCTTTATGATAACAAGGCTGTTGACGTCCCTCGACTGTATTCAGAGTGGATTCAATGGAGACTCAATCCATGTCTGGACCCTGCAGATGGTGGGCTTCCACTCATCCATAGCCTTTTGCAAACTGGTGTTCTTAATTTGAGTTCTGCGACCATTTCCTTCTTTGGATTTAATTATTTATAATCCTTGGATAACACAGGCTGGTATGATTATTCCATGTGGAATTAATTGATGCCTCACTTAGATGGCTGCTAGTTTTAACATAAGCCTTTCAGATCCCAGACAATAGTCTTTCTGGTATCAGACACCATGTGGTTTCTTCATTATACTTTGCTGTAGCACCCATCTGCAGTGATCTTTCCATGGGCGCAGCATCAAGTAGGTTCATGTCATAAAAACTAATTGTTCTTAGATTGGGGCTAGAATTAAGGTGAGTCCCAAATCCATTCATATATCTATGATTTAAATATGTCTTTGGTTCATTTTAGAAATTTCATTGTCATTTTATGTTACAGAACTTTAGAAATCATCCCTTTGGGGCATAAGCTAATTCTACTGGTAATATTAATTTAACCAATCACTGAGAAGTTAAAATACTTTTGAGAAAAGAAAATTATACAAATATTGGCCAGCTATGAACTGAAATGCATGAATTGCTGACTTATATAAACAGAATGTGACTTTTTTTAAAGAAAGAGCATTATATAAAGAGTAATTGTACATTAAGAAAACATCCGAGCCCAGTCCAGATCAAGTCCATAAGACCGATATTAGCCCATATGTCCGATACCAATCTACAAAGCCCTCGTCAGACTCATGAAACACATGCAATGAGGTCGAATGCTGGAAGATCACAGGCCATGGGTGGGAAGTCTTGTGGATCCAGTGGCATTGTATGCATCTCAACACTGGCCGGGGTCTCCACGTGGCTCCTTCAGCTCCCAGGGCACAGGCTCTATCAGCGTAGCACCATGTGTCTTGTCAGTAGAGCGTCTCAGGGAGTGAGTGTGTGTCCTACCTATTTATCGCTTTAGCACCTCCAAATGAGGTCATCAAGCTGCAATCTGATTGACAGGCTAAACTCCACCACTTCACTTTTTTAAAAATTTTATTAGGGGTTCATACAACTCTTATCACAGTCCATACATACATCAATTGTGTAAAGCACATTTGTACCTTCATTGTCTTCGTCATTCTCAAAACATTTGCTCTCCACTTAAGCCCCTGGCATCAGCTCCTCATTTCCCCCCTCCCTCCCCACTCCCCCCTCCCTCATGAAGCCTTAATAATTTACTATTTTGTGATATCTTACACTGTCAGACGTCTCCCTTAATCTACTTTTCTGTTGTCCGTCCCCCAGGGAGGAGGTTATATGTAGATCCTTGTAATCGGTTCCCCGTTTCCACCTCCCCCTCCTTCCACCCTCCCGGTATCGCCACTCTCACCACTGGTCCTGAAGGGATCATCCGCCCTGGATTCCTTGTGTTTCCAGTTCCTATCTGTACCAGCGTACATCCTCTGGTCTAGCCAGATTTGTAAGGTGGAATTGGGGTCATGATAGTGGAGGGGGAGGAAACATTTAGGAACTAGAGGAAAGTTCTATGTTTCATCGTTGCTACACTGCACCCTGCCTGGCTCGTTACCTCTCCACGACCCTTCTGTAAGGGGATGTCCAATTGCCTACAGATGGGCTTCAGGTCTCCACTCCGCACTCCCCCTCATTCACAATGATATGATATTTTATTCTGATGATGCCTGATACCTGATCCCTTCGACACCTCGTGATCTCACAGACTGGTGTGCTTCTTCCATGTGGGCTCTGTTGTTTCTCAGCTAGATGGCCACTTGTTTACCTTCAAGCCTTTAAGACCCCTGACCCTATATCTTTTTATAGCCTGGCACCATCAGCTTTCTTCACCAGAATGTCACATTTTACAGGAGTAGGAAGCCTTACTTCCTCCTGTGGAACAGCTGATGGTTTTGAGCTGGTGACATTTGGGGTAGCACGTATGAGTATTCTTGAATGAGGTCAGTAAATAGCCATGTTGATTATGTCATGCTCCATTTTTTTTTTTGAAGTTTTTTTTGCCAGGTGTGGACTGACTACATTTGCATTTGTTTAAGGGGTTTCAATAATGGGCTCAAACATAACCATTGTGAGAGTGGTGTAGTACTGAGTTGAGTTTTATTCTGTTGTACTTAGCATTCCTGTGAATCAAATCTCTGATACCTCAGAACAAGTACTACCTGGATATTTCAGAAAATACAGCTACCTTCATTGCTCACAAATTTCAAGGGCAGTTTTCGGAACCGTGAGCTAAACCAAGTTCTTTGTCTGACAGCTATTAGTAGTGCCTTCATTGGTTCTATAAGAAGGCAGTGTCTCCAGTGGTTAGGATCTCATGCTCTGGTGCCAAACTGCCTGCGATCTCAACCCCTGCACTTTGAGAAAGCCACCTCAGCAGATCTCGACTTTTGAAAATGGAAACAGTAAGAGTTGGGCCTGATAGGCACCTAGTGAACATTAACATGGAACTCTTCTTATTTTATTGGTTAATAATGCTTTTAAATTTTTTTCATTTTTTAAATCATTTTATTGGGGGCTCATACAACTCATCACAATCCATACATACATCCATTGTGTCAAGCACATTAGTACATTTGTTGCCATCATCAGTCTCAAAATTTGTTTTCTACTTGAGCCCTTGGTATCAGCTCCTCATTTTCCCCTCCCTCCCCGCTTCCCCTCCCTCATAAATCCTTGATAATTCATAAATTATTATTATTTTTTCATGTCTTACACTGTCCGACGTCTCCCTTCACCCACTTTTCTGTTGTCCGTCCCCCAGGGAGGAGGTTATATGTAGATCCTTGTAATCGGTTCCCCCTTTCCACGCGACCCTCTGTCCACCATCCCAGTATTGTCATTCTCACCACTGGTCTTGAAGGGTTCATCCGTCCTGGATTCCCTGTGTTTCCAGTTCCTATCTGTACCAGTGTACATCCTCTGGTCTAGCCAGATTTGTAAGGTAAAATTGGGATCATGACAGTTGGGGCACGGGGAAGCATTTAGGAACTAGAGGAAAGTTGTATGTTTCATCATGGAACTCTTTACTGAATGATAACATGGGACTTTGATGACTTAATGTGTTATACATTGGGTTGCTAACCAAAGGGTCAGTTGGTATCCACAGGTGTAGGATTGCCTTGAGTTGGAGTTGATTTGATGACAGTGAATTTGGTTTTGTGTTTTTAACATAGCCATTGTTCAAAGTCCATCACCTTTCCCACTCTAGGCCCCATAGGAGTAAACTGGAGCACAGCGGAGATCGTCTCTTCTGATTAGTTGCTGGTGGGTTTTTTACGCAGTCCTTGGGTGGTACAGATGGTCAGTGTACTGTGCAAAAGGTAGAGGTTTGAATGTACCCTTGAGAGAATTGAATAACCAGCCACTGAAAATCCTATGAAGCACAGTTTTGACTGGTGAGGGAGTGGTGAATCATATTGAGTCAACCTGCAACTTGTTTGGTGCCTTTCTAAGAGTTGAGATTGAATGAGCTAACACTTATAAAGGACTGAGAAGAATGCCTGGCATTTAGCAAGTGCTCAACAAATTTTAGCTGCAGTTACTGTATGATACTAGTTTTTTTTATTTCAAAAACTGCAGCTGAAAAATACTGAAATGGAGAAAAGGAAAGAACACATATTTCTTTATAAAAAGGATTATCTTCCCAAATAGAATTTTAGTGCTGTTTGCTAATAATTACCACATCAGTAAAACCAGACATAAGAAAAAAATGCAGTGTATTTGTGGGACTTACATAGGAAATTATCCATAATAGAGGGATGGGAGGAAACAGAGATGGAGAGTTGGAGAGATGACTAAAGAAAATCAAAAGGATAAACCTGACTTGAACGGTTAAAACCTTGACCATTGCTCTCCTTCTGATGCACGTTTGGCCTGATCTGATTTTCAACATTTTCTGTATTTTTGTTTGTTCATGTTGGGGTTTATCTCAGATGTTATATCATTGGTGTTACCCTCTTGAATGTATGTTATATGTTTTTCAGTATATGAACCTAAGACTGATGAATTTATAGGGACAGCAAGTAGAATAAGTGTTTTTTGAGGGTACGGGGAGGGGGGGCGCCGGTTAAGGGGTTAAAAGGAAGCCAATGTCAATGAGTCCAGAAGGAAAAGAATGTTCGGAAGCTGATTGTGGTAGCAATCAACAATACTGCTTGATGTGATTGAACTGTGAATGATATATGTATTAACTCCCAATTTCAAAAAAGAAACAACTTTGTAAATTGAGCCTTTTGTGTTTCCACTCTTAGAATGTTGTTTTCTGTTTTTATAGCAATATGTGTGGTTTAATATTGGTAGTGTGGATACCTTTGAGCGGAATCTGGAAACATTACAGCAAGAACTGGGCATCGAAGGGGAGAATCGGGTCCCTGTTGTCTACATTGCTGAAAGTGATGGGTAAGCAGTAGTTTTTTTGTCTTAAACAGCACTATATATTTTTTGAATTAGACTCTAATTCATTGCAGTGGTAACAGAACTAACAATATTAATAATTACAGGGTGTGTTTTTTAAGGAAGTTAGTGGGAAGTTTTTAAGAATGTTAACCTTACAGCAGGATGGCATCCCAATGAATCCTGTTCATTTACTGTCAGTGTCTTCTCTATTCTTACCCAGCACCATTCAAGAAAAGTTCATGTAGTAGGAGTTAGAGACTGACTAAAAGAGCCCCATTCAATAATTCCCTCTGCACTCAGATATAACGATAACATATCATTTGGGTATTTGGTGTACGTACATGGTGATTCTTGGAAGAGGAATTAAACAATTGCCAGCATATGTGTTTTGTTTTTTTTAAATCATTTTGTTAGGGGCACATACAACTCTTATCACAATCCATACATACATCAATTGTGTAAAGCACATTTGTACATGCATTGCCCTCATCATGCTCAAAACATTTGCTCTCCACTTAAGTCCCTGGCATCAGCTCCTCGTTTTTCACCTTCCCTCCCCGCTCCCCCCTCCCACATGAAGCCTTGATAATTTATAAATTATTATTTTGTCATATCTTACACTGTCTGAGTTCTCCCTTCACCCACTTTTCTGTTGTCCATCCCCCAGGGAGGAGGTTATATGTAGATCTTTGTGATCGGTTCCCCCTCTTGACGCCACCCTCCCGCATCGCCACCCTTACCCCTGGTCCTGAAGGGATCATCCACCCTGGATTCCCTGTGTTTCCAGTTCCTATCTGTACCAGTGTACATCCCCTGGTCTAGCCAGATTTGTAAGGTAGAATTCGGAAAGGGATGTGGGGGTGGGGGGGGTGGGGGGTGGAAGCATTCAGGAACTAGAGAAAAGTTGTATGTTTCATCGTTACTACACTGCACCCTGACTGGCTCCTCTCCTTCCCCGTGACCCTTCCGTAAGGGGATGTCCGATTTTTTGTCCTGATGATGCTGGATACCTGATCCCTTTGACACCTTGTGATCGCACAGGCTGGTGTGCTTCTTCCATGTGGGCTTTGTTGCTTCTGAGCTAGATGGCTGCTTCTTTCCCTTCAAGAGCATATGTGTTTTGTGTGTGTGTGTGTGTGTGTGTGTGTGTGTGTGTGTGTGTGTGTGTATGTGTGTGTGTGTTGTCTGAAAAAAAAAGTTTTATTGACATGTAATTCACATACCATACATTTTAATGGTTTAAGCGTATTAAAAAGTATAATCACTGCCAAAATCAATTTTATTTCTTTTTCTTTATTTTTATGCTCATTATTAACTCTCCATTGCTCCCCAGCCCAACACCCCCTCTCATAACTCTAAGAAGCTTTTAATCCAAGTACTATCTCTGTAGATTTACCTATGCTGGATTTCCTATAAAGGAAAACATGCAAACACACCCCCACCCTGCCAACCAATAATTACAAAATAAACACAGAAAGACCTCGATCTGAAAGCAAGCACAAAATAATAAAACTAGAACAAATTTTAAATGAGTCAAATGGGTGTTAAATTTTAACCTAACTGCATCAACATCAAACCAGTTTACAGTGTACTCTGTCTGATAGCAAGGCTATTTCATATCCCTAGTCAATGGTCAGAGGAGTTTCTTCAGAGGTTTAATTCACATGAGAATGCTATCAGGGAATTTTAGTTTTCACTATCATTCACAGCCTTCTGCAAAACAGGCCCTCCAGTTTTGGAATTTATTATTTACAATCCTTGGATCACACAGGATGGTATGCTTCTTCTGTGTGGTCTTAGTGGCTGCTTGTTTTAAAACAAGCCTTTAAGACCCCAAACACTGTTCTTTCTGAAAGCCGGGCACTGTTTGATTTCTTAACCACACTTTGCTATATCAAAGTATCAAGTAGGGCCATGTAATAAGAACTCATTCTAGGACTTATGGTTATGTGAGACCTCAAAATCCATTCATATATTTGTACTTTATATTCCTGGTCCACTTTAAATATATCAATATCAATCTTGGTTAATATTATAAATCATCTCCATGTGGTAATTCTTTTTTTTTTTTTTAAACATTTTATTAGGGGCTCATACAACTGTTATCGCAATCCATACACACATCAATTGTGTAAAGCACATTTGTACATGCATT